CGGTTATAGAGTGCCGAAAGGTACTTTGGTGAATATGGTTGCCACTACTCTATTGGCTAATGAAAAGTATTTTCCCCATCCGTTGGAATTTTTGCCAGAACGTTGGCTGCGATCGGCTAAAGGAGAGGACGAGAATATCGTGAACAGTGCAACCGAGTGCGTGCAAACACTAAAACCAAACAATCCGTTCATATTTTTGCCGTTCGGTTTCGGTCCAAGAATTTGTCTGGGACGCAGAATTNCCGTTCATATTTTTGCCGTTCGGTTTCGGTCCAAGAATTTGTCTGGGACGCAGAATTAGCGAACTGGAAATGGAATTGGGTATTGCTAGAATAGTTAGAAATTTTAAAATTGAATTTAATTACCCTACGGCAAATGCTTTTAAGAGTTTATTTGTTAATTTGCCAAACATTCCGTTGAAATTTAAGTTCACTGATATTGAATAGTAACCAATAAATAAATAAATTAATTTATTAATTTAAAAAAAAAGCAGCAGACAAAAATCGGGCTCGTCAGCTATTTTTTATTTATTTTTTTTTTTTAACCTACAGTGGGAAGCAAAAATGTCAAAATCGTTATTTTTTTAATATTGAGTTTTGCATATTAAAACTTTTTCGGTGATTTTTGATTAAAATAGTGTCCATGCTTTGCTAAAACAACTTTATTTAATCAACAATTCCTCCAATTTTCATTAAATTTTTCAAGTTTTGGATATGAATTTCAAAAAATACTTCTGAGTATGCCGTTTTTCAAAAATTTTGGTTTGCTGATAGTCTTTTTTTTTATATATGTATATGCACATTTTTTTTATGAAATAACAGCTTTTTTTGCATTTCAGCGACGATGTGAAATAGGGCCTCTCAATATTAAGGTAACGATATGTTAAAACGGGGAAAGACCTTAAGCAGTCTAGGCTCTGGAGTCTTTAAACTTGCACATTATTATACTAAAAATAGCATGGGCTAAAAACTGCATATTCAAAAGTGTTTAGCAAACTCGTTTCAAAAAAGTGAAAAGTATGACGAACTTTTCTAATTTTTTAACTTAAATAAGTGAAGAAGTATAAGTTCGGGCGAAACTGAATTTTATATACCCGGCGCAGGTATCAGGTCGTTTCAACTTTCTTTAAACTACCTAAAAGTCTATAACAGTCTTATTTATTGTTGTAAGTATTAACTTGGAGTAAGTTTGGAGAGTTTTCGTATATCCGAAAATTACCGTTATACTGGAAGCCGGTGCAATTTTAGTCCGATTTGAATAACTTTCAACGAATTGCTTTTTCGTACCAAGGTTATTAAATGCACCGATGTTGGTCGAAATATATCGGTTAACGAGATAAACATATTTAGTCATAAATCCAAAAATGTATAATAATCTAATTTTCTGCTCAGTGGTCATTACAATCATCGATTTTGAGTCAATTAGCTTCAGTAGTTACTGATTTTTCGCACTTTTCGCATTTCTGTAAACTACCGTTATATGAGAGGTGGGCGTGGTGATTGAACGATTTCAAAGATTTTCAACAAATTTCTTAGCTAGATCCGAAGCAAGGCCCGTACCGAGTTTAGTAAGAATTGGTGAAGCGGCTACTAAGACACAGTATTTCATCATAAGTGGGCGGGTCACGCCTTTTTCCAAAAATTTCATAATATTATTTTGCATCAAAATTCTACTTTACATACTGATTTTAAACAATTTAAATCCAATATTTACAGGAATATCGCAGTTTTTGCATTTTTCGAAAATACCGTTATGTGAGAAGAGGGCGTGGTTATAATCCGATTTCGTCCATTTTTAATAGCATAATTGCGCTCGGGTATAAAAACGATAAAGGTAAGAAAGTTAAGGCAAAACTAAAGATAAAGACGAAAATAAAATAATGAAAAATACATACATATTCTTGTTTATAAGAATTGAGTTTATTGAAAAGGTAAGATATTAAATTAAAATTTTTCAATAAGAATCGAAATATCTACAGTCATCAAAAATTTAGCTAACGAAAGTTATCAAGTCATCGAAATACAAAAACCAAGTTATCGAAGTTTTTCGACAGTTATTGAGTTGTAAAAATTTGGCAAGTTAATGAAATCTAAGTTTATCGAGTTATCGTAATGTTATCGATATTTACTTTGCACCTTCATAGTTGGCAAGGCCTTAAAGGTAGGGCTGCCAGACGGCCCGGTTTTCCCGGACATGTNTAGGGCTGCCAGACGTCCCGGTTTTCCCGGACATGTCCCGGTTTTAGACTATTTGTCCCGGTGTCCCGGTCCAACCTTAAAATGTCCCGGATTTCGTTTAAGTGTCCCGGTTTTCGATTTGATTGCACAAATTTTGAATAAAAATGACTACACTGAGAGAAACAACGCATTGTGATATTAAGAAAAATGTTATGAATTTACTGGGGGAAATAACGCATAGTAAACATTTTTTTATTTGATTATCGTTTTAAAATGTTCGTATTTAAAAACAATACTTTCATACCACGAACACGTGGTGTTGAATCGAACTGAGCATTTGAATGCACATTTACATGTCTGGCTGTAGCTGAGTGCACGAAGATGCTTGCCACAATTTGCTAATTTCCAGAGCGTCAGGGGTCAAATCCCATTACAGGCAGCATGGAATTTAAATATTTTTTATTTATTTTTTTTTTTAACTTAATTATGAAAAAGCATCCGTTAAGTGCAAAGCGCTTCATTTTAATATTGGCGTATTTGAATTGAATATTTCTATACTAAATACTAAAATTTGTATATTTAAATTTATTACGAGTTGGGTTGGTGCCCTTTCATATGCGATTTTTTTTTTAAATTTAGCATGTTTTGCTTAAGCAATAGTTGATGATTAATATAAGTATGTACCTAAATACGTTAAAATGACATGCACAGAGTTTAACAATTATATTAAGCAAAAGCCAGAAGTTTTGAAACAAGTTCACAGCAACGAAACAAATTACTGATATTTTAGTGTTACCTTGTATTTAATTTTTTTTCTTTCGTGAAACCTAGATCACTTATAAGTACCGTGCCGTACAAAATTATTGGCTCGGAGACTCTTTCATCAGATCACAATTTCTAATCAGATCTTTTAGAATAATTTTGAAAATGTAGCTTTTGAGCCAGTTAGTAAAGTGCAAGTCTGAAGTTACCAGAAAATTTCGTTGATTTTTTGCAATTATTTATTTTTTGCTGACAGTGTCTTCCACATACAAAACAATGTCGAACATAAGTAGTTTGTATGGAAGAAACTCTCAGTAAAAACAATACCAAAAATCAACTAAATTTTTATGTGCTGCAAAAGTTCATTTTCAAAATTTTTATAAAAAAGTCTAAATAGAAAGTTGCGAATTTGTATCCAAATTTATTGCATTTTCCCTAGTTTTGCACAAAGTTTAGAAATTTAATTTTTATGTTTTCTGATGTATTTAGTATAAACTGTATTTTTATAAGGAACAAAAAAGGTACATGCATTGTGAAAAATTCTCTGTGCTTTAGTTGTGATAAATTGTTTTGTTTTGCTGGTGT